AAGAAGAAATTTTAGAGACCTTGTAACATTCAGATGAGTAAATTGTTGAAAATTGAACAAGTACATGGATTGCACAGCCAAGGAAACCTAATATATAACAAAAAAGCACAATTTTCAGTCAACAAGTACAAGACAAACTGCTATCTAGAACAACTGCATCCCTCACAGAAACAGAAACATAAAACCAGAAGCTACAGAAAGATGGACCCCAAAAGGACAGTTGAAAGAAGCTTAAGATGAAACCACTGTGAGATCAACTCTAGCAGTTTTGTGACTCTCAATGTCAAAACTGCAAGTCAAGCAAATGAAACAGCACTTCATATCAAACAACATAGAACTCCATAACACCAAAACAGAGGAAGAGAGACATCAGTACTTAGTAAAGATGCAGACTGGAGATGAATTACCACATTTTCATCCTTTCAGGCCTTTGAAACAACAACTGTAATAGGCCTCTATTCATTGCTCACTTGATTTGAAAAACCCCTTCTATTTCCATAAAGCTAGGGTATGTCAAATCCAAAAGAGAAAAAGCATTTATGAGCGTGACCAGGATCTCTGGCACCTCATGCACATTTACATAGTCATACAAACATAGAAGGTAAATAAATAAACTAAAATTAATATATGGTGTAATTACCCTTTGAGCAGCTCGGGAAGATACTGGCAAAGGCAATATTGGTGGCTGAGCTTCTTTGGCCACCGATGCTGATGGTTCAGATGATGGTGATGCAGATGCAGATGCAGATGCAGATGTTTGAACCACCTCCACATCTTTCTGTGCAGTTATTGAAGATTGGGACAAAGAGGCCACAGTAGATCCAGACTGCATTAGCTGACCTGGGGTTATGAGTGAAGGTGTAGGTGCTTCTGCATTAACCGAATTAGATGAACTGAGGATAGAAGATGAAGATTGAGATGTGCCTTGATATGACAAGGTTGGACCAGAAATCACATTTGGCTTGTTAGAGATTGGTACAGCAGGATTTGACTCTGGAGTGGAAGTAGTCAAAGGTGGAAGTGCTGGCAAAGCTGGCAAACCAGAACCTGGTGTAGCTGTTGGAAGGGCAGAAATAGGAGCCTTGTTAGGTAACAAACTGGGTAATGTTTCTGAGGGTAGTGAAGCAGAGGGTGCTGGAGGCAAAGTCAAGGATGGTAAAGAAGTTGAGGTCAAATTAGCAGAGACTGTAGTGGCAGGAAGTAAAGGAGAAGGAACATCAGGCACACTTGAGCCCTGCAAGTTTGAAGGACCAGTTGGCAAGGGTGTGTTAAAATTGGGATATTGCATTGGTTGCAGTGAGGAAGGCATTGATAATCCAGGTGGGGGACGAAGCAAAGATTGCTGGTGCAAATGCGGCAGCCCATTTGGAGGGCCATAATATCCTTGCCAATACATTGGCATGGCAAGACCACTACCATTTGCAGTTGGGGGAGGAGGTGGGGCTCCCCATGATCCTAAATTTCCTCCAGGTTGATATAATGGCAGACCACCTTGAAAATTGGACCCAGGTAGTCCCATTTGAGAATTGTGGGAACTTAGATCTGTCAGAGGTCCACTAGCAGCAGAAGGCAAGTTTGTAGTTGTTGAAACAGGGCGAGGATAGTGAGACTGCGAATGCTAAATCAAATTTGTCATTAAGTTCACTTGACTTAATCATCAGTTCATCACACTTAATATTTCCTTTACCTGGATAATAGCAGGGTCATTGTTTATGGGAGCTGCTGTTTGAGCAGGTGGGGAAGATTTAACCTGCAAGTCCTGTAAAAATATGCATAAAGAAAATTATGCAGGAGTTAGGCTTAACATCTCAACAGAATGAGCATAGAGAAACTCGATCAATAAGCAACTCATCACTCAGCAGCCAGCATAAACAAATGATAATCCTCTTCACTCAAAGTTGGAATAAAGAATTGGGAGAGTAATGTAATTTGAAAGCAGTAATAACCACAAATTTGACACATAAACAAGACGTTATAATATACCACAACAACCCATACCAAAATATGAACCACCAACTTTCAGTATCAGCAAGTAAATGAAATAAAATAGCACCTGAACACATTACACAATTATACCTTGATGTCACTTCCTCGGAACAATATGTACTCATAGACCTTGTCACTTGGGGGTACTTGTGGACCATCCTTTTTCCTTCCTTCAGTTCCGAATGAACGCACTGCACAAATGAAATGAGGTGAGCCAACTTGCAAACAAATTAAAGCACTTCACACTAATGAAATAAAGAATTAATAGATATAAAATGAACTCCCTGCTTCGGATAAATAAATTAGTAGAAGATGAATATGATAAGCGTTAAATTGAAGCACATAAAACATTATTATGGAGCTATAAATCTAAGCTAAAAACAAACCAAATTTCATAAAAATGGTAGTTTAGATTAATGCGATAGCTGTTAGAAGTATTGCATCCCCAAAATGGAATTAAACTCAACCCAACTTCATCTTAATGAGAAATCTTTAACAAAACATAGCAAAGCATTTTAACCCATCAAACAATTCAACAAACCAAGTTAAACCCAGATAATTAATCTACCCAAATCACGAAACTAACAAATCCAAACCTCAAAAGCCCCAAAAAAATACACTAGGATAAGAAAAGGTACCGTTTCTCAATCCAATACTGGATTCCTCGGTGTTGATGTTGTAAAGGACACCCTCGTATCTGATCTCACTCTTCGAGGTCAAGCTTATCAAGCTCCCTATGTAGGAATCCGCAGTTGAACTAGATTTCGAGACGGAATTCTCCGTTTCCATAATCGAGCAGTCTATGTAAAATCAAACACAAATTGGACAGGTATGTATTCGCCTGTGAATAGAGCGAGGAAGAAAGTGAGCTCAACTGGAGTCAATTCCTTTTATCCAGTTTGGGGAAGAGAGGGAAATTAGGGTTTTGGTAGGAAGAACTGTTCTAGGAAAGGGGAGATCTAAATATATGCAGTGCAGTTATTGGGTTACGGTAATGTCGTTTCAAGTCGACTCGATGACCAATGGAATGAAGCCACGTAGGCAGATCTTGGACAGGTTGGTCTTTTCGCGAAAGATAATGCTATAAAGATCTTTTTTTTACATATTTTTTATACAATTTTTTTTATACCATTAAATAAATAAATAAGTTGAAATTCAATATTATAACTTTCATATAAACTTAAAAAATTAATTATTTTAATAATATATTATTATAAAAAAAATTTATTTCAAAATCATTTCCTTTCGTGAAAAGGTTAGGATAAAATTGTTCCGGGGTTGTAGAATGGGACGAAGGGAAAAAGAATAAAAGATGAAACCTTTAGGATCATCTTACACTTAATTTCAGAAATTATTTATTAACTATTATTTATTTTTATTTTAATTTATAATTTTTATTTTTTTAAATTAATCTATTAACTTTTAAAATTATTTTATTTTCACCTAGCCCATGTAACTCCGCTAATCACATTGTTGAAACTTCGCGATTCTAATTGTGTAGTGTCATACAAGCTGTTGTGTGACGCTATTTAAGGTTGGTTCGGTATATTAGTTGATTTTGAAGTAGTAATTAATGATTTTGTTTAAATTATTAAATATAAGTATTTTATAAATTTATATATTTTAAAATCGTTATAAATAAAATATTTGGTAAATTTTTATTTAGCAGTTAAGAACTAATGGATAGCGGTTAAGATCCAAATTGTGAATGGATTGAAAAAATTAATTTATGTAGTTTTTTGAATCAAAACATCAGTGGATTAAAATTTTTTAATTTTATTAACAAATTTATTTATTTAAATTTTTTAATTTGTGGTCATATTTTTTAATTAATAATTATCTAATAAATTTAAAATTAATTTATGTAGTTTTTTGTACCAAATTATTAGTGGATTAAAATTTTTTAATTTTATTAATAAATTTATTCTTTTTAATTTTTTAATTTGTGGTTATATTTTTTAATTAATAATTATCTAATAAATTTTAATTTTATTTTTTTACTTTTAATAACATTAAGTGATTATA